TATGTGTGTTATTTGAGTATGTATGTGGGTTATATGAATATGTATGTCTATATGTGTATGTTATATGAATGTGTGTGTGTGTGTGTGTGTGTGTGTATACCTTCATGTGTATGCACATATGGAGTCCAGAGGTTCACATCAGGAGTCTCTCCCAATCCATCTTCATCTTATCCCTCTCAGTGCTGGGTCACTGGGTCTGAAGCTCACCTGGTGCCGAGATGGAGCTTCTTTTTTAACAACTGACATATACAGCTATGTGGGAAGCACTCAACAAATACGGAATCCATTTTCTTTTTTTTAAGACAAGGTCTCACTATGTGGATCTGACTAGCCTGGAACTGGATTTGTGAACCACTGGTCTTGAACTCACAGAGACCCATCTGTCTCTTGCCTTCCTAGTGCTAGGATTGAAGGTTTGTACCACCTTTAATGGCTAGCCAATCCATTTTCTTTACGAACCATTTGAGAAGCCCTAAAAGGAGGAAGAAGTGAAAACTAAGGTCAGATCTATTTAATTTCCTGATAGTAACAGTGAGGAAGGGAGGTGATTTCTTTGCTCTTAGAGGGGCTTTCTGCTTTTGGCCAATAGGATGAGAGGTGCATTTACCCTCCCACGAAACCCCTGAAGAAACGCAGACTATGAGAAACAAGTTTTCTAACTACCACACATCAGGAGATGAAGGATAGTGATCCACAAAAGGAGATGAACAGAAGATCCTACAAAGTCCGCAGCTTACTCCTCGGGATTTCCAGGTCACTGTATTAGAACGGGGCCGTATGCTGAGCCCAGAGCCTACCGACTGAGGAGATGAGACTGGCAGTGTCTGGAAAGCAGAGCCACGTTACTATGGGGGGGGGGCACTGAAGGGCAGAGTGCACAGGTTAGGGGACTAGAGAGGAGAGAGAGACACAGAAGGAGCCTCCAGAGGAGCTGTGGTGCTCTGACTCTATCTCTGAGAGCTCTTGTAGAAGACAACAATGGAAGAGGCCTGTGATGGCATTAATGGCTCCCTAAGAACAGGAAGAGCTTGTAAGCCGATGTGCTTGTTCTGTATTGTCATTCCACGATGACATCAGCATGCTGCGACACAACAAGAAGCAATCACCAGAGGTCCTTGTGCTTCCTAGGATCCACAACTGTGAGCTGAATACACATCTATTCTTTATGAATTATCCAGGCTGTGGCATTGAGTTACAGCAACAGAAAACTGACAGGGGCTTCCCAGCCAGCCAGCTAAGTCTTTGCTGAAGACTGACCAGTACACATACCTGTGAGGAAAATACCAGAGAGCAGGGAGTCAGAGAGCAGGGAGTCAGAGAGCAGGGAGTCAATGGTAAGGTCTGGAGAGGGTAGTGTTTGGACCCCACACAGAACCACCAAGTCTCATTCTCAAGAATCACACACAATAACTTCACATGGCAAGGGGATTAAGCATTTAGAAAACTTTCCTGTAGTATTTAGAAAAAACTGTGTCCCAGAACAAAGTACAAGAATATTTACAGGGACGACAAGATATCTCAGTAGATATAGACACTTACCCCAGTCATGAGGACTGAAAATTCAATCCCTGGGACTCACATTCTGGAAGGAGAGAAGGTACTCCCCACAAGCTGTCCTCTGATTTCCCCCATACACACATGTAGTCACACACATGAATAAATAAATACATTTTAATTAAAAAAGAATATTTATAATACAAAAATGCCTAAGTCCCATCAAGATAAAATTCACAATATTCTGAGCTGAAAGGATGGTTCAGTGGTTAAGAGCTTGCACTACTCTTTCAGAGGACCAGAGTTTGAGTCCCAGCCCCAATGTCAGGTGGTTTGCAACCACCTATAACTCTAACTCAATGGGGATTTGATGCCTCTGGCCTCTGGGAACCTACACACACACACACGCACATGCACACGCACACGCACACACACACGCACACAGAGAGACAGACAGACAGTATTAAAAATTATAAAAATAAATCTTAAAAAAAACCCACAATATCTTCCAGGACAGCCAGGGCTACCCAGAGAAACCCTGTCTCGAAAAAAAAAAATCACAATATCCAAGATTCAATAAAAAAAATTGCCAGGCATATAAAGAGCAAGAAAACATAACCAATAATGAAAAGAAAAATCAAAATTACCCAGAAGTACAAATAATATAATTAGTATACATGACATCAAAACAGATGCTCAAGAATTAGAGAACAGGTTGACTGTGTTAAGTAAAGACACAAAGCACACACACATCTGCTGGTTGTGATGGCACAGCCTGTGATTCCAGCACCTGGGAGATGGAGGCAGAAGCATCTCAAGTTTGAAGTCACCCTGTACTACATAGGAAGACAATGTCTAACAAAAGAAAAGAGGTGCAAAGTAAGAGAGAAAAGAAGAGAAAAAATGCTTGAGCCAGATTTGTAGAAATGAGAATTACCAAGTATATTATATAACATATGTTTTATTGTAAAACATAATCTGGGACAGCATCAGAGGTTAGACACCTCAGACAAGCTTAGGGGCCTTGAGGAGACACTAGTACAATCCAACAGAAGGTGAGCATGGAGAGAGGAGAGCGAATCGAGCATGGACAGAGCAGCACTGAGCTGCCAGCAATGTCACGGTATCTAACAGACACAGACAGACACACAGACACACTTGGCATGTAGAGAAGGTTTGGAGTTTGGGAACCAGAAAAAGGGAAGAAAGGAAGGAAGGAAAGGAGGGAGGGAGGGAGAGAGGGAGGGAGGGAAGGAGGGAAGAAGGGAGGGGAGGAGGGAGGGAGGGAGGAAAGAAGGGAGGGAGGGAAGGATTGAGGGTGGGCAAGGGAGCTCCAAATTTAATCCCAGCATACAAGAGGCAGAGACAGGCAGATCTCTATGAGCTCCAGCCAGCCAAAGTTACATAGCAAGACCCTGTCTCAGAAACCAAACAAATTCTTTCATTTTGATTAAAGCTACAAAACCAGAGATTAGAGAAGTTCACAAACCCTCAGCAAACAGGAGAGATGACAGGAACTACATCACAGCTCATCATACCCACATTGTCTGATGCAACTGAGGAGAAAAGTCCTGAAAATGTCAG